CAAAATTAATAAAAAAGAAAAGAATGATGAAAGAACAAATTAATAATTCAATTAGCCCTTAGGAAACGCATGACTCATTGTATGTCAAGGGGTTAAACGATTCAGATTTTACAGCACTGTTCGTGGATTTCGAGGGAATCTGGTAATCTCATGCTCTGCGAATTTTGATAAAGAATTTTGTTCACGATAGTCTACAATTATTCCAGTAACAAGAAGCGAAAATGAAATATCAATACGAAGTTTCAATTCTTATAAAAGGAAGGACGAACTCGAATTGCTTGAAAATGAAAATGGAATTGAATGAAGAAATTAATATTACTGATGGGATATTTCGAGTAGAAATGATCTATAAACGATCTACAACTATCGTTGCATAAATTGCTGTTATAATAATAATATATAATTTTTACAAAAGTATCATTTGTCGCTTTTGTTATTAAATGGATTATCCAATAGTTCGAATTTCGCATAATAATACAATTATTAATTTAAAATTAGCGTTGGCTTCGTTCACCTAACAGTTGCTATTCATCAACTTTTATTCTACTGATATTTCTACTAATATTTAAGCCAGCGTTCTAAAACAGATTAAACTGTCTTAAACGAGCATGTTTATTGGCAGAGGGGCAAGAAGAAGGCATCGAGCTCGCAAGATTCCCCTAATCAGACGAGACTCGGATGACACCTCCGACGAGGTAGTGTCGTTGCACGATCGACAGCTACGTTCCATAGAGTTCTACGACATGGAGCATAAAGCAAAGTATTTGGCGAACAAACGTGGCACCACGAGACACAGATTCTCGGGCAGGGCACGACGAGCCGCGACTGCACGCAAGGAACGTGTGTGGGATCACGGTGTAATCCCGTACGAGATCGATGGGAATTTCTCCGGCGCTCATAAGGCCCTGTTCAAGCAAGCAATGAGACACTGGGAGAACTTCACGTGCGTCAAGTTCGTCGAGAGGGTCCCTCAGGAGCATCCTAATTACATACTGTTCACGGAAAGGCCGTGCGGGTGAGTGTGATGATTTATTTTATTTTAATAATAAATTCATACATATTTTTGACAAATTTATATTTATTTAAAATTTCTTCGAAATCCTTCGAATCAACTAATAAATATTATTATTTCTATAATTTTTATCAATTTTATATATTTTATATAATTTTAATTACTATAATTAGACGAATAATAATTTTACATAATTTTCACATTTTAGTTCTTTTATCAATATATCAAAAATATATAAATCAAAATTTAAATGTAATTATTTATTTATATATTTAATTATATTAATATCTATGTTATTATCGTTAAAAATTAATTGTAATTTATTTTTATATAAAAAGTTTTACAATAATTGATAGTAATCGTACTTGATCAGTTTCGCGAATAAAAGGAAGAAGAGAATTTCTAAATACACCGACGAGACCTCCACAAACAGAGAGAGACAAAATTGTTGATAAAATTTTCGGATAATTCCTCTGATATATTAAATTGCACGTATCTTCGAATGGAGATTAAGAAAACTGTTCAATCTACTTCGATATTGAAGAATTCACTTATATGTCTCATCTTTTTAAGTTCCTTCGATTACGATGCAAGGTTTGTTTCCCTTTTTCTTTCCTTTTTTTCAGCGTTTTCAATTTGTGAAAAATTTTATCATGGAATCTCTCGGAAACATAACGATACAGCAGAACTCTGCTTAATTTCTGGTTAAAATATACCTATCCTACACGATATAACAAACTATTATTTTTCATAAAATTAAATTAAAATAATAGACAGTCACGAAAATTGGCGAGCTGCTATCAGATATATATATATAAAACAATAAATGCAACTCTACGTGCAAAAATCTCTTGTTAATAAATGTTTTATTCGAACAGAGTTTTTAAGTAGTATACAATGTTCGAATGTTCCATTGTTTGTATGATTACCAATAGCAGTGATAGCTCTTATTCCAGTTTCATCTTTTAATTCATTCTTCAACTTACTTTACCAACTGCAGGAATTTATTTAATAATTTGATATAATAGTATATTAAATATAAATTATAAAAATTCTGTTAATTTCAAGAATAACAATATTTTTTCTTCTAACAGCAAATTTCGAAATAGACTTTAAAAAAACTATTCTTTTTCAACTTTAAGTCAATTAGGTTTTGTATTAAGAATCTTATCTTCATAATTAAATGGATCAGCATTTTTACATTTATTTATTCATGCTTTACTTAAATCAATGATATTTATATGTGTTGGAAGATTTATTCATTATATAAAAGGTATTCATAAAATAAAGGTTTATTTTATATTAAAATATATATAAATTTATATTAAAATATTAATCCTATTAAAAGTGTAATTATTATATTATCTTTGATGATATTATTTGGTGATATTTTTTCCATTTGTAGTTGGATTTTATTCTAAAGATCTAACGATTGAAAGATATTAAAAGAAAATTAACATTTTTAGATTTGTTATCTTAATGTCAAGTACAATACTTACTATCTCACATTCATTATTTCTAACTTAATATCTGAAAATTTAATATTAAACTTAATTTTCAAACGTGAAAGAAAATTTATAAATATATTATTCACATTGATAATTATGTATATTTAATTTAAAATTTCTAACGACTAATTATAATTTACTTCAAATATATAAGTATCTTATTTCAAGATAATATTGCTTGTTGAAAAAAAGAAAAACCCACTTTTCCCCGTAACATGCAATAATCCTGACGAGTTCCGTATCGTTGAAGTAACTTTCGTTGGATATTATTGTATACGTGTGTGTATGATTCGTGTTAAAAGGGCATTCGCTTTTATGTGGGGCGAGTGTAATAGAAGAGAGACAATTTCCTTCGTAATATACCATTCGCACGGGATTTCTTTCATTTCGCTTTTTTGAAACAACTCTTCGCAGATGCTGCTCGTTCGTCGGGAAACGAGGGAACGGTCCGCAGGCAATAAGTATCGGGAAGAATTGCGACAAGTTCGGCATAGTGGTTCACGAATTGGGTCACGTGGTTGGCTTCTGGCACGAGCACACGAGGCCGGATCGCGACCGTCATGTGCAGATCATCCGTGACAATATCATGTCTGGTAAGTGAAATATCGCCTCTCCGGTAAGCAAATTACGAAAATGAAAGAACGCAGGATGATTCCATTCTATGGCCATTTGGCCGTATCTGAACGACAACAAAAGGCAATAATGGCTTCCGTGATAAATATTAATATAGAACAACTGGATTCTTCCGTCAGTGTGTTTTTTATTTTATCACAAATCTATTATTTACTTGTAGTGTGGGTGTGTTTTTTATTTTATCACAAATCTATTATTTACTTGTAGTGTGTATCCATCTTTTAATAAAACAATATTATATTTATTGTATATAATCTGTTAGAATTTTCCAATAAATGTAATCAATAGGTGTATAACCCAATGCTCATAATAACGCTCACGTGGCGCTAGTAGTCATCTCGGTCTTCGCAGCATTAATTATCACGTTGGCCAAACAAGGAAACGATATTTTCGAGTATTTTTACATCATTTTATCATTGTTAAAAAG